TGGGCAGCCTTCCCCGTCTTGAGGGAGTAACAACTCCATGAAGTGCTTGACTCTTTTACCCACACAGAGCCAGCCACCCGGCCACGTAGCCTGACCTCGGGTACATGGTGTGCTCCCCACAAGCGCACGGATGTGGAAGAGAGCCGGGCACTGCGGGGTACAGAGACAGCTGGCCTCGCCTGAGATAGGCATTCGGATCCCCATACAAGACAGCAAACAGGCTCAGAGAGATTAAAAGAGTTTGCCCAAGGAATCAAAGCTAAGGAGGAGTGAATTCAGGATCCTATGCTCAAAGCTCTTGTTCTTTATACTGCATTAGGCTGCTTCTGGAAACTGCATTAAGGCAGCTTTTCCCAAGTCCTGTTCTTTGCAACACTAGTAGGGGAAAGAATGAGTCAATCAAATCAAATGGTTTCTGAGGAGGACGGCCTCCCACCGTTACTAAGGACTGTGAGTCTCTGCGAGGGGTATCCGCCAGCAGCAGGCCTCACACTGACGGCATCACCAAGCCTGCTTTTTGCCCCCCTTCAGAATGCCCCGGGGGCCTAGTGATTTGGAAACAGAAGACATTTGGGAAACACTGCATCAGAAATCCCCAGTCATACCCTCTGCCCACCCCCCACCCCCCCAAGCAGGTATGACAGGCAGGGTGCTCACTGGTGGCCATGGGTCCCAGAGAGCTGTGCCTGGGGCTGAGCTCAGCCTCTGAGCTCCCAGAGAATGGGGTCAGCGCCTCCTTTGTCCCCTCCCACACCTAGCACAGCGCCGGCCCCGACCCCTCTGTCTATCTGGCCTGCCCCCTCTGCCCACCCGGACACCCTCCAGAGGTCTGCGTACCGCTGCAGACACGGGTTACCAGCACCTGCCTGCAGAGAGAGAGAGAGAGAGAGAGAGTGTGTGTGTGTGTGTGTGTATGCGCGATCGCGCGCACTGAGTGCAGGGTTAGGGGGAGCTTGGCTGGGCCAGGTCCTGCTCCGCTTGACCCGGGGCAGGACAAAGGCCCCCTTCTCTCTGTCCCTGCTCTTCCCGGGCCCTTGGAAGCTCCCTGGGAAGTGGTAAAAATCGATGCTGTGCGAACTGACCCCCTCTGGGAAGGGAAGATCTTTTCCAAGTGCAAATTTGATCTTGCCCAGTCCCTGCCTAAGGCCTTCCCGTGGTATCCCACATCCTGCTGGGCAGAAGCAAGCTCTAACATGGCCCAGTGGGCCAGGATAGTCTGGTGCTAGTACGTCTTGGGCCACCTTGAACCCTGTTCCGGCCCACCCTCTGGCCCTCTTACCAGCACCCAGTTCCCTGCCACCTGACTGCAGATCTCAGCTGCAGAGACACTTGCTTATGGGAAGCCTTTCCCGATTCCTGCCTAGGCCACATCCCCAAAGCGCGGGCACGGGTGGACCAGCGCACTTTGCCCTAATGACGCTTGGCTCAGCTGCACGTGTATCTTGTTGGATTATGTGAGTCGAGCATAATCTTCCCCGAACGTGGCAGCCCCGAGAGGGCAGGAGCTCTGGCCGTTTCTGCCCTCACCGCGTTCCTGACTGCCGGGAAGTGAGGGTAGCTCTTGGTATTTACTGAACAAGTGAATGAGACGCCTGCTGCTTAACTCACCCTAATTTCCCTAACCCCGTCTCAAAGAAATAATCACCCCAGCCAAGTGAAAACATAGGACAAAGCAACAAAGAAACCTCTGCCCGAGGCACAATGAGACCATTTACCACGCGTCTGCGCTCTGTGGTACGGAGTAGGTCTGTAACGGGTAAGTCCACCGTTCCACCTTCACGTGGCCGGCTTTCAAGTGTGCTTTATTACAAAAGCAAGGGGGCTGCCCGTAATGAACTTGCAAAGGTCAGCTGGGCACGGATGACAGCCGGGGCTGGACCGCCTCACTCAGAGAGAGAGAGAGAGAGAGAGAGAGAGAGAGAGTGTGTGTGTGTGTGTGTGTGTGTGCGCGCGTCTCAAGGCTCGAGTGTCCCCTCTTGCATCAGTGCTGCTCACAATGGCCGGCCCCTTCCCAGGCCTGAGCTCTGCAGTCAGACCACTGCCCAGGCTCCTTCCCAGTAAGGCAGCTCTGCATCCCAAACCTCACCATCGGTGACGTGTAAAATGCATCTCTAGGTAAGCAGCTGCTCTGACCCACCCAAGATCAAGGACCCTGACTGTGGTCCCAAGTGGGTGCTACGTGCGTTTTCAGATTGAGGACACTGAGAGGGAAACGGAAGACCAAGGACAGCAGAGTGGGGAAGAGCATAGGTTTTGCTGGTAAGGGTGACCCCTTTATTCTTTAATTAAAGTACCAGATAATCTTTAAAAGAAAAAGAGTATAGGTTTGGGAGTCAGACGGGAGACTAAATCTTATTTCTCTCACTAGCTCTGAGCCTCAGTTATTCTAACTATAAAATGGGATAATACCACTCAGCTCATGGGGGACGGGAGAGAGGAGAGGGAGAGCGAATGTAGCTTAGGCAATGAAAACAGTGCCTTGCAGGTAACAATGGAGGCTGTGACCTAATTGCCCATGTTGTTGCTACGGTAGAAGGCCTTTTTCATCAAATACGCACTTGAAGCCCGGAGACGGGCTCAAGTGAGGTGGGCCAAGAGGAGAAACGTGGAAAAGCCCAGAGATTCACTAGCTCTTATCTTCACAAACTTAATTTTAAATCTCTTCGGAAGTAGAGCGGAATGAAATGTGGCAATAAACTGAGATTCTTGTTAGAGAAAATTCCTGCTGGGTATCACAAAACGACCCAGGCCTGGAAGACTCCACGTTGAGGGGGGAAGGAAAGGAGGGAAGGGGTTAAGGGCTGCACTGCTGGGGTTTGCCTCCAGCTGACGTTAAGGACCTTAATACATATTTGCTCTGTTTTCTGTTCATTCCTTTAAGCTTCTGACTCAAATTTATTGATTTTTTTTAAGTACATAAGATTTCAAAGCATGACAATTTTTAAATCTTTATAATCTTTAAGTCCCTCGCCTTTCCTCCTTTCCAACTTTTTAATAATTATCTGCCAGACCTTTGGTCGGCTTCTTTTTTCCTCAGAATATCCCACCTAATCTGATTCCTTCATAATTAATTCCTCTTTATGCCAAATCTTTGAGCTAGAATCTTCTTCAAGATCTTTAATGAGCCCTGTCACAAACCCTTCTAGAAGACTATGTGGTAAGAGAGCCATTAATAAACTCTCCTTCACAACATTTAAATTCGTTTTATTTGCTAACTTTATTAACACATTTGTTCTACTGAATTACCACCTCCTAACACATCTGCAATGCAGAATTAAAATTCCAACCAGCCCTATTTAACAGTTATCCCGTATCACTTGTTAAAAGTTATAATGATCCTCCTTTGGGGCGTTCGTCAGGAAACAAAGTCTCAACTGTGTTCCCACAAACATTTTTAATTTGCGTTTTAGAGCAGAGCAGTTTAGGAGGGTGGCCTCTGACAGCCTCAAATCCCAGTCTGAATTTAGTAGCTGTGCGTCTTTGAGCAAATCACATAGAGTCTCTGGGCTCAGTTTCCTCATCCATAGACTGGGATAATGTCAGCACTCATCCTCCGGAGTTGTTATGAATGAAAGAGAGAATGACTGCCTGGGACGGAGTTTAGGCTCTACCAGTGGGTCCGTCAATGTTGGTGGCCCACCATGCCCGCCCCCACCTCCACCCTCCCACCCATTTCCAAGGTTGTGGGCCTATAAACATGACAGCTGAGATGGCCTGTGGTAGGGGCTCCCCGACACCCCCAGGCTTCCAGCGTGAGCCAATGAGAGGAGATGGGTGCCAACTCTCCACCATCCACCGTCTACCATCATGATTGGAGCTGACAACATGCAGCCCAGAAGGCCAAAGTGATTTTCACTCTCCACAGAGCACTGTCTTTTGGAGAAAAGGGCTCACCAATACGTAGTTATGTGCAAAGCTTTCTGAATTGAAATATTTTCAGGGTATATGAACAGAGCAGGATTTCGGTTGCAAAAAGAAAAAAAAAGCAGCTAGATTCTCATGACAGTTCTTTTCTTTTTGCTACAAAAATAGATTACTTCTTGAGCTATAATAAACTCATCTTTTACCTTAAGCGTTAAGTAAAAAACAAAGAGTCATCCCCACCCCCCACCAAAAAACTGTACTCAAACAGGCCAGTCAGCTAAATTAGAAAGCACAGTGTTAATGAAAAAACAAAACTAGATTAAATTCTAGTCTCATTTATCAAGATCAGATGTCAAGCCACTTCACCATAATTACCTGCTTAAAAATTTAATGATGCTTCTGCATGAATTTCAAAACTAAAGATACTTGTATCAGCCATTGAGAATTTTTTTTTTTTTAATGAAAAGAATGCTTTATGCCCTGCTTCAATTTCAACAAAACAGCTAAGTGCAAGAGCCCTGCATGGGATTAAACTATCCAAACCCTCTAATCAACGACATTATTAGAGACAACAAAAGGGCTAAGAGGATCCTTATGTAATTCAACTGTAAATTTGAACTGCTTCAGTTACATTATATCTGGAGTCTAAATATCCTAGTGGTACACAGCCAACAGAAAAAGGGATGGAAACAAAATTTTTTTTTTTTTTGGCAGATTGCACATAACCCTAAAGGATATTTACCATAATTGCTCAATTGGTATTATTCTCAAAATTAAAGATTTGCTGATTGATGAATAAAAACCCGAAAGTGAGTAGGTCTACCTAGAGTACTTAGTTATCAGATCAAGTTGACACCAAAGTATGGGAAATGTTTAATGTTTAACTAATATGTACTGTAACAATAATCACTGGCAACATTAGAAAAAAAATGCTTGTTAATGAAAGACTGGAGAAAAAAATGTTACATGATAAAAGCAAACACTTTCTTCTACTTTTTAAGTAGACACTTGTATCCTTCAGAAATAAACACTACTTAGGTTCTAATTGAAGTATATACACCAGGTAGGTTTAAAAAAAAAGTAAACATTTTTTTATGAAAATAATTCATGACCTAAAAATAGTTATGAACTCACTCGGTCAGTCTGGGTGTCTTACAATGAAAGAGACGTCAGAACAGGAAAAAGGAAACTGAAACTGCTCTGCCCTCACGGGGGATACATTCAAATGCAAGACACTCATTCTTTGGCTTGAACCATTCTAATTATTTTTATTTAATGACATGAAGAGGAAAACTTTCCCCTAAAGCCTGTAAGTAGCAGAGCTGTACTGGTGTGGGAGGAACTGTATTTCAAAGTAAAAAAATTTTAAAGAAGTATACCATACTCACACATACAGATGAAGGAAAGTAACAGCTCAGAAAAACTTTGTCCAGTAACCGTCTACATTAGAATTCTCTTTGCAGGGTCTTGTAAACCTAACGAATCTCAAGAAAATCTGTTTTTCCCCCCGAATTAATTTCCAAAGGACTCACAAAAGGAAGTCCAACAAGGCTGTGATGCCTTTAAAATCAACAAAAGGATAGGGAAGAGTATATTTTTAATTCTTAAAATAACAGTTAAGCAAAACAGCCTCCCTCACGAGAGACGAAAAGCCCACTGTCACACAGTATTTTGTGTCACAACCATCCCCCATGACGCTGGGGTGACGACCAGCCTTGGTGCTGTCCCCACCACACGTATGGCTTGGTGGCCTGATGACACCACTTTCACAGAGGCTGGTGGAAATGTTAAAGCACCAGGTGACCGGGGCTCTGTCTACTAACACCGAGATGTGGTTCAGATGAAGAAAACCCCAAATTCAAATAGTTACTAAACACTTGTTTTTGAAACGCTTTGCTGTGTGACAGAATGTCATCGCTCGGCGTCACCCTCCGTCTGGTTGCTGCGGGCAGTCCGTGAGCAGGTTGCCACCGCACAGGCTCCCCACCGACCAAGAACGTGGCAAGCTGAGGGTGGGGACGCCCCGCAGATGACATCAGGTGCTTTCCTTGGTCTGTCATCTAGAGGAAGGAGCTGCCTGCCGAAGCAGCACACTTCTTTCCTAAACCAGGTCACACAGGAGATGCACCTGTTTAGATGTGATTTTCATAAGGTACAATACGTATTTTTGCCTTGGTTGCAGATTTAAATGGACCGTTGAAGACGCTTCTAAAAATCAAGAGTGGTGACATTTCTACGATGGGGCTGTCCTTGATGCTGATTTTTTCTTACCTCAACATCCTTTTTCAGTTTTTCCAGGAACACCTTTTTGTTGTTGTCATCAATATAAATCTTTTGGCCCTCATTGATGAAATCATTATCCTTTAAAGTCGGTAGTTCTTTGGCCTAAAGCAGACGACAAAGGGAATGAAAGATGTTTGAATAAAATCTCAGAAATACATGCCTTCCAACCCCGGAGGTTAAGTTTCCACCGCCGGAAATGGAGTGTGCCTCCCCACCGCAGGCTTCTTACCCGAGGCAACAAAATGTGAGGTGGCTTGAATACCGCAAGGGGGCACCAGTGAGCTACGACCACTAGGAAGCATTCGCACCAGGAATGGAGGGTCACCTGTACTCCGTATTATGCAGTTTTGTAACAGATTTCATGGCGTAAACCTGACTGCTTTCTGAGATCCACTCTCTTACAAGAAGTCTTCTAAGTATAGAATTTGTATTCTTGGAATTCTTTGTCAGGAACCTTCAATTTTCTTACTGGTACAACCCAACTCCACACCCCTGGCACTTTTTGGATAGCCTTTGCTGGCTTCATGTTACAAATAACAAGGTCAGCTTGCCTCAGAAAAGCACCATCCATAATCCTATCTAATTTCTCAGTCAGGGAGAATATGCAGCCAGAGGTTGGCCATCTGTCCCTTCTAAGCCTTCCTGGTCACCACCCCACCAAGAAGAAAATTCTGTTGGCATTTGGACCAGGCCAAAGGAAAATGTCTTAACATAAAACATATTAAGATGAACAGTTCTATCCTTTACAAATAAACAAGAAGGTGGTGAGCTGGCAACGACACTGTCCTTACGGTGACCGTCACAATGCAAAGTCACGCGTGATGATCGAAACATGGGTCACAAGTAGTAAAAAACTTGAGCTTATGCTATAGGATAATATGGGCATATAATTTTGAAAGTGTACATTATTCTATTTAACTTCGTGCAACCTGCATTCTGGGAGAGTTCAAGACCAATCAAAACTCCTCCCCACTCCTGTCAGCTAATCACAGCTTATTTCTTCCAGCTGAAAGGAATTCAACATAAGACACCATCTTAGTACACCAATGAATGTCTGAATAGCTCTCTTTCCCATAAGTATGAGCTAAATGAAAAAAAAGAAAATCCAAGGAAAGGACATATTCTCCTTACTGCTCTCCACACTACCCACCCCCCCGTTACTCAGAGCAATAAAAGAAAACCCACTGCATAGATCTACTGAACCACCTTTCAGATGCTTGAACTGCTCACTTTTTCTTCTACGTGAACTATTCACATCTGTCTGTACACACACGTATATGCACATATATTATGCAATTCCAAATTTGTAGCTCTGCCACTCATTTTAACTTTGCAAAAATTTGAAGTCTTACAATTTTTAAAAAAGATTTTATTTGAGAGAGAGAGAGAGAGAGAGTGCACACACGAATGGGGGGAGGGGCAGAGGGAGAGGGAGAAGCAGACTCCCGCGGAGCAGGGAGCCCCACGCGAGGCTCGATCCCAGGACCCTGGGATCGTGACCTGAGCCAAAGGCAGACACTTAACTGACTAAGCCACCCAGGCGCCCCAGAAGTTTTGCAATTTTTAATTTGATAAAACTGCCAAAATAATTATCTTTACAAAGCAGTTATAGCAAAGATCAGAAATCCAAAGATTTGATTCAATTAGCAGTTACCGAATGACAGTCATGTACAGAAATGCAGAAATCAATAGGTCAACATTTCTATTCTAAAGGAGTCTGTGATCTAGCTTGAAAGACAGGAGAGCAAGTAGGTAAAAAAAAAAAAAAAACAAGGCAGCATGAGAATGCAAAACAGACGGATAAATAATAACATTCTTGGGGGAGACTGATCTACTTTCAAATACTTTCATGCTGAGTCAGAGTTTTGAGGAAATAAAAACACAATGCCGTTCTTCACAAAAACTATGGAGGCGCCTGGTAGACTGACTCCCTCAGTTTGTCATTAATAATTTAAAAATGTCATAAACGTGACATAAAAACCCGTACGTGTGAAGATAGCACATTAACGTGAAATGTTTGAGTCAACCACACTCAACCCTCAGGTCCACTTCCAGCACAATTATAAACATAACGCAGTTTCACAGCGAATGAAATGCAAGGATCTGAAGTTTCACAAACCCAGAAGGCAGTGATAAACACCACCCAAAATACAAAATTGGAAGTGCCTTAGAAGAAAGGGTTGAAGCCAGATCTCTCCCCTCCCACACACACACACACGGAGAAGGAGAGGATTCTCCAAGGGGACACCCTGGCTGTTGGTGTCTGTGTGTGGGGGGTGACGGCGGCATGTGTGGGTGGCGGTGGTAGGGATTAAGGTATTGGCCTCAACTCCACAACTCGCTTCATACGTGTAAGAGAAGAAGGGCAGAGGGATTTGGGGTTCTGTGGGAGCAAGGGAAACCTGAAGCCGGGACTGTCAGAGCAGAGCCAAGGCAGTAAATGACACAGTGGAAAGGCGCTTGTAATTCCAGGCACATTCACGAAGACGCATGCCACTTCGGGTTCACCCCGGCAGGATTACCGCATGTGACAGGGAAAACTTAATCCTCGCTCATAAACCTCTGGGCACCTTCTACTCTATTACTGAGCTCACTTGTGAATTTCACAGGCACTAGGGACGCATTTAGATTGGATCAAGTTTTAAAAGGGGCAACCAGATTGGTTAAAAGACCTAAGGGCTTACCGAAAGGCTCAAGAGGCAAAGGCAGATCCTTAGCAGGGCAGCTGCTGTAGGAATCCAACACTGGTCTACGCATACCCACCCCCCAGTGTCTATGGTGGGGCAGAGCGCATGGGAGCACCACCAGGGTGTTGGAGACGCGAATCCCGACGTTCCGGAGCCTGGCTCCGCGCCCTACTCTCCAGGGCCCAGGCGAGGCTTCTGGACCTCTCCGGGCGGGGGCCTCAGGCGCCGTACGGGAACACGCCCCGCAGCACCAGCAGCTGTAGGTACTGTGCTAATAGGCATTTCACCTGCATCCATTCATTTAAGTGCCTCGTCCCGGTTATTCTTCACAACAATCTTAACTATTACCCTTAGAGGCCAAGCAAACTGAGCTCAGAGAGATTATGCCGGTTAACTAAGGTCTTAACTAAGGTCTCACACCCTGGCAAGCTAGGTGGCCAGTTCTCACGTGGAGACGGGAACCCGGGCCGCCTGATGCTTGTCATTCGGCTGCGGTGGGTTGTTCCGAGAACTCCGCCGACACCCGTGTGACACACTTAGCTAGCGAGCGCCGCTTGTCATTGCCACCGACGATGTGAACTTTCAACGAATTGTATGGATTTAAAACATAGGTTGAGAGACTGCATACAAAACCTTTTCTTAAAAAAAAGAACTTTGTTCTTTTCTACCAAGAGCTACGTGACACCGATAAAATCACGTGACAGTGATTGACGCTCAAGAAAACCTTATTGCTTAGCTTTTTTAAAAAAAAATTAAATTTTAATTTCCAGTACAGTCAACAGAGTGTCATCTTAGTTTCAGGTGTACGATAGAGTGATCCAACAATTCTAGACGTCACTCAGTGCTCATCACGGTAGATGTATGCTTTCTCCCCATCACCTGTTTCCCCCATCCCCCCACCCGCCTCCCCTCCGCTAGCCATCTGTTTGTTCTCTATAGTTGAGAGTCTGTTTCTTGGTGTGTCTTTTTTCTTTTTTATTGCTTAGCTTTTACAACGATTTCTATACATCCCTCTGATAATGAGAAGTATTTATATTTAAACACTTTTTTTTTTAAGTGGAGAAAACTACTAGGCTGTGAATTAATGAACTTACGCACTCTCGGGGTACATGGCCCACAAAGGTGAGGTCTGCAGAGCAGCATGGAAATAACTGCGGGTAGCAATGGAGTCCACCCTTTGCTTTGCAACACTGGATTATTTGCACTTAGGAGAGCTTTGAAAGCCTCGAAGTCACTGGTCTGGTTCTTTAATGGGTGTCTTTCATACCCTTTCTAGTTCAATGCAGAACCAGCCAGAGGGCGGAGGAAACCACCAGAGCTAAAGACATCAGCTCAGAATCGCTTCTTAACTGCGGACTCTCCGAGGCTGGCTCCCAGCCAGCGGTCAGCAACCTTTCTGAAGTGGTAGTAGGTTAAGTCTTTATTTATTCCCTCTGAATTAAGTTCTCCTGGCCAGTTTCGTGGAGACTGGGAGCCTCCGAGTGTGACGGGGGAATTGCAGTACCACACAAGGTGCTCCAAGAAAGACGAGCTCCATCACCCTCCCCCATCCCCCCTGCCCTGGGCCAGGACCCCTGCCTGGGGGCCTCTGGGAGCTGCTCCCAGGCCCTAGCCAGCCGAGGGAGGCTGCGTACAACCAAACTCAGAGGAGAGTCCAGGCAAAGTTACTTTCCCTTTGGAATGAGGTAACTCTATTGGGGTGGATTGGACGCAAGATGACATTCACCTCTACTAATGCGACATATAAGTGCACCAAGGTAGCCAAAGGCACAAGCAGACACCATTCCCCTTGCAACCTACCCATCGTGTGGATAAAATTAGCAGGATGCATGTCCCTCACACTTTCCTGCGGGGTGATGCCAGACCCCAGGCCCATTCGGCAGGGCCCAGCACGGGACACAGACTCAAGTGTCAGGTTCTGAGCACAAACTGGATCCAAGCTGCCGGGGTTATAGCTCAACTCCTCCGATTATTAGCTGTGCGTCTTTGAGCCAGTCACTTGACCTCTCTGTGACTTGGTTTCCTCCTCTTTAAATGGGGATTAGCAAACAGCACCGCTGTGAGCATTACTTGAGTTCATACGCCTATAAAGCTTAGGGCAGTGCTTGCCACGTGGAGGGTTATATACAAACATCATCGTCAGTGTTATTTGTTGGTCATGTTCTCAAGTATGGCTTGTGTAGCCAGAGAAAAACTCATTGCTGATAAATCCAGAGCAAGATTTTTTAAAAAGTTTGGCATATGTAACATTTTTATACTAGCTGTGATGTTCTGAACCAGCTGTTTAATCTGTCCCTCACGAGTCTATACCCTTCATTAGTAAGAAACATACTATGTAACGATATTGGTCATGGTCAGAAATGGTTTATGTGTAACTCAACACAAATGAACATGACCCTGAGAGTCAGGATATAC